GTATTGTACAGGATTTTATGGAAATTAATGCTAAATTAAGATTATTATTATTATTATTATAGTCATACGCAGCGCGGCGCTTCACCCGCGATCCTGGAAGGCAAACTAAGGCCGACCGAAGCAGGGCAAAGGATGTCTTTGCTCGGATCCAGGAAATTGTTTGCGAGTATCGTTCCCCTTTCTTGGCGGCTATCAGCAAGGCCAATCGGCTGTGGTATCTTATGCATTCCATCCCCATCCTTCCCGTAGTTGTAAATACAAGCGGCGTGAACGGGCCACAATAATAATAATAATAATAATAATAATAATAATAATGATAATGATAATGATAATATTAATGATAATGATAATGATAATGATGATGATAATGATGATGATGATGATGATGATGATAATGATAATGATGATAATAATAAAAATAATAATAATAATAATTATAATAATAATAATGATAATAATTCCGTAGACACAACGGTAAAGCTTATTAGGATTAGTTAATGTACATTTATTTGTTACTCCATGGTTCACAGGTTATGGTTTTCGCCCTGTGCTGCCTGATTAGAATGTAGCATTCAGTTGATTTCTCTGCGATAATAATAGTAATAACAACTACAACAATAATAATAGTAATATCAGTGATGGTTGAGAGTAGAATGCACAATTCTCTCGGTAAAAGAAAAAGAAAGTTGTCCGGGATGAAATTTTTTTGCAAGGCCATGGGCTGTTTCTTTCTTAGCTAATTAGTTTATCTGACTCTATTTTAATTAAAATTTTTTTTTCTTCCCCATTTCCTTTTTTTTCGGAGCGCCTATTCTTATCAGTTGGCCACTTCTAAAATGTTTTATTTAGGGAGATGGGGAATATCGTCTGCTTTTATCCTAACAAGCAATACATTGTAACATTAAATGAACTTTAAGTTACAACACATTCCCATTGAGGGAAGTAATTTCCTTGAAACTTTTTCGCGACACTCGCAACGTAATGATTATAAACGCAAATGTCAGGATGCTTTGTGAAACAAATAATTGTTGTCATAAGACGTACTGTAAGGAGACAAGCTTTTGTGTGAGCAAAGCAAGAGAAAAAAAAACGTGGTTTGCGTTTAGATGCACGAAACATTGTACTGGTTAATATAAGTAACACTGACCTGTAATGTGTTTCGATTGAAAAGCTCTACTGATCAAAGTACGGTGGGAACTTCGATAGAAATTCTGATGATTCGAAATGAACAATTAAGAACATTTTCAGCCGCTTAGATCGAATGCATTTTCTCAAAACGTGAAGCTGTGTCGGTCGTGTTTACTTTGTAAAATAAATACAAGAGGATGCAGTTAATATTAAAAAAATTTCACCAATTCTTCGTAAATTGAACTGTCAGTACTACTGATGAAGTTAAGACGCCCAGTTTTTTCTTTGCGGCCGCTACCAACATATACCTAGTATGTTTTGAAATATTTTCTTCGCATGAAGTGGAAACAAAACATTACGGTTTTCGACTCTGCAAAATATTGGAAGCCTAGTTATAATTAAAGAATTGATTAGCATTTTCATTACCGACATAATAATACCCGGGAAGCAGTGTGGACAGATTAAACGTGTTCTCGCAAAATCTATTTTCAGACATGTTAGAGACATTTTGCATTAAAAATAAAACTTAATTCATAACTTAAAAACAAAGGCAATTTTTCAGAAATTAAAAATGAACGAAATGATCTAAAGAACCAATACTCTTGGCCTTTATCAATTGAAAAGAACCTGTCACTAGTTAAATGAATTCAAATTCAAATTCAAAATGGACATCTCCATCAGTGACATGAGAGCAGAAGGATTGACCTCATTGTTAATTACACGGTGAATGCCAATTAAGCTGCTGGGTATCTTAATAAGAAAACACTTTCACGTCGAACCTTTTGCTATCTGAATCGCGAAAGCGAAGATAAAACAAACTGAAGTTCTTACCTGCCGAAGAACATTGATCTCACGAACGGTTGGTAGATGCAGACTATTTTAAATTTAAATTTATACAAGTAGTCAAAAAGTGACTTTTTAGCAAATATTTTCGAAGAATATAGGAAAGAAAAATGAAAGGCGAAAACAATAGGTCTGTAACGTTCCACTTGACGCTTTTCCATACCAGCAATCGTGCAACAGTGATCAATCTAGCATTATGCAAAAACTCTTAAAGTGATGCCGATTTTAAATCTATACTTCAGGGACAAATTTCCACGCAACGTAATCCTCTCATCAACGGTAACAGTGCCAGCTACTTTACAAAATGTTTGACGCCAAATATTAATAATGAAACTGAACAAAATTCAGGCAACAATAATGCTATTTTTTAAAAAACTATTGCAAATTTCGGAAACACATTTTCTATGAGAAATGTTGCGTTGAAAATGAACGTGTGGGCCAATGTAGATTTTCAAAGCAACGATGTTTGGTATAAATATCATTTTATTCCGGCTCAAAGGTTCCGGCAATTTACTTGCGTTTGTATTAATTGGGTTCCATTTGTATGACAGTTTGTATTTGAGTCCCCTTGGCGCGCTATTTGGCCCCAGGAGCGGCAGTCGAAATTATTACACAGAAGCCAAAATCAGGCAAAAAAATATGTATCAGCTCTTCTTTGTTTTGTTGGCATTAAATTGTTTCATTTTAAGTATCTCTCGTACATATCTCGAAGAGACTGCTTAATTGAGCAAATTCGGGTCTCTTTTATTACGAACGAAAAGGTGTGATGGAAGGCAGGATGGCACCTGATTATTTATCGATTTATAAACCACTATAAGAGCAGCTTAGGAAAAGGAAATTCATATTCACGGGCCTTTTATCTAAAAAGTGAAGCGAAGACCACCGGCGAGACTAAGATTTCGAAGAAATTTCTATTAGTTTGCTTTGCATGAAAGTTGGAAATTACCGGTAGCTGCGATTCAGTGGGAATTCACCAACCAAAGATTGAAAGATTATGCTCTGAAAAAAATAAATGGTCTAGACTTGAATTCATAGTTTTTCCTTTTGTCCTGTTTTTAGGGCGCCGAAAGAGACCCTGAGTGTACTTATAATGTTTGACAAAGGATAGTTTGATACTCACTCATGAATAATTCAAAATCATTCGCATGAATTTTTTTAATAACACAACCCCGCCAAAATCTGGCAAATAGCAAAGTGCGTTATTTATGACATCAAGGAGTCCTGTTAATCTACTATGCTGATTAATAGAGGAACTGAAATTTAATCTTTTTTTAAATTTATTTTACATGTTGAATATAATTAAAACCAATGTAACACTCCAGTGTAACACTCCAGTGTAACACTCCAGTGTAACACTCCAGTGTAACACTCCAGTGTAACACTCCAGTGTAATCCTTCCAACAGCTTGATCTCTCAATGGGGCATGTTTAAGTGTTTACTTCACATAAATTATGGCAAACGGCAATTGCAAAGACAAGTCATTAAAAATCCTGCTTATGATCATGTCATATATCCAAACCTTGGCTGCCTTTGTGCCAAAGGCTTGGTGCAGTTCAAAACTATTGATCACTATTTTATAAGCTCTATAGCATCAAAGACCTTTGTTAAGTTAACCTCTACATTTAGTTCTTATTAACCGAGTGGGGGGTCTTTATGGGAGAGACTTGACCGAGGTCGCCAGTACAGACCAAACGCAGGGAGGTCTGTACCAGCGACCGAAGTCAAGATTCTCCCATACAGACCGACCTAGCTCGGTTAATAAGATGTTTATTATATGGCTGTGTCTTATATGCCAATTTTTTATATTCTTTGTACCTTTTTTTTCCATACCGGTCTAGATGCCGGTCTAGATGGGAAAATCTAGACCGCTTTCAATATTGATTTCAGCAAATCAAATTCGTGAATTCGGTAGCTCCCAGTCCTTGTAAGACACAGCCATATAATAAAAGAATAAGTCAGTAATCTTTTACCCAGATCCTATCCTGCAATTGCACAGCCGCTTGGCCGTGGTAGGTCTTGGTACGAAACTAAAGGATAAGAAGCATGAAATCGAGGTTTGACATCATAGAACGGAATTTGGCCTTGAAGCGGTTTAAATTATATTCGTGTATTGCAAATTTTATATCCCTTTGAGTGGTAACAAAAGAAATAAGTATAAGAGAATTTAAAAAATAAAGATAAGAAAATAAAAACATGTCAAGTGTGGGATCACGACTTTCAAAAGCCTAGGGTTGGAAAGGATAATCAAAATATGGCGAGGAATTATAAAAAATCAAGAAAAGAAATGAAATTTTTCTATATATTTTTTAACTTGAAAAAACTTAGAATGATCTTTCCTTATAAAAAAATAAGACAATGCTTAAATTCAAGAGGAAAGTTTTAAAGGAAATGGCTTTCAACAAAAACCTTTTCCTATCACATTAACTGCGTACATCTGACATGATAAGATAAAAGCAAAGAGCCGGTATATTTATAGCACAGCTTGTTCACATTACAAAGATAGAAGTTCCTTTGCCATCTTGAAGGGATGTATGATGCCAAATTGATAAAATGATCAAATGAAATGAATGAACAAGAAAGCGTGTTGGACGCTTTAAATTTGCAAATTTGCGTTAGGCTTAAAATGTTGTTTATAACTGAATGCATGATATTTCCTCATTTCGTCATGTTTTCAATGCAAGTGATCAATAAATTAATAAAAAATCTTCCTTAAGGACCTATATTTTAGCGACTCAAGATCTTGACACTTGGAAACTAAGACACTGCAACAAATTGAGAAAGGAAGAACTCAAAAATGTACATTTTGATGATGACAAGATCTATCTTATTTTATGAAATGTTACAAGGAACAAATCAAGAAATTGCCCCAGTAATTATTTTGTACAGTCTAAGCCATGCAAAGGTCTCTGACGACAAACTTTGAACATTATATTTAGCCGAAAGGAAATCGGTGGAAGCAGAGAATTAAAACATACATTTCTTGGCCAATAATGCAAGGCCATCGACTTTATTAAGTTTCTGATATTTTTTTCTGTTACAAAAACAATTCTTTCAGTTTACTCTCTCCTGAAATAATTGATTTTAAACGCAGAGAATTTCGGAAAGTTGTTCCCTGATTTGTACAAGTCTATCAATGGATAATAAAACTTTCATGATTGCTCTTCTGGTTTTTATGGGTTTTTTTTAAAATGCAGATTTTTTTCAAAACTTTTATTCTTTTTTTTTATTTCTATAAATGGCTATGGCTTCTTTGACCTTTTTTACGCTTCTATTGTTTAGAGTAGTTTATTTATTCCCCGCAGAGTTGGCAAGCTTGTTTACTCACGTAGAAGTTACTCTCTGGGCAAATCGATTGTATGTATGGTTCCAGTCTGTCGGTGAGAAACCGACTTAAGATGGGTAAATCTGCAAATTTTAATCTTCATTATCGCCGCAAAATAGATGAAAGACCCCTCTCCGCTTCCCATATGAAGGTGAAGCCTTTCCATTTTCTTCAGGTCCTTCAGAAACATTGCTGAAGGTTTTAATAACGACTGTTCTGCTCCGGCTCTGTGCAGTTTTGCATATTGTGGATATTCGAAGGTAATTATGACTGCTGAGAATTTTATCTTTGAGATATAATCAACATTTTGGACGTCAGTAGTTTTCCAGCATTGATAGTTCAATAGTATTCCAACCACCAGAAAAATAGAGATCTCAATCTCTCAAAGGCGGGCAGAATTTAATTATTGTCATCCATATCTTTTTTTTTATGAAAGCATTCTTGAATTCGAAGGTTCTTACCGTAAAGCCTTGACAAAAGCGACATGTAAAATAATGTCCACTCTCCTTCTTCACTAATTATTCAGAATGTACACTCAAGGAAAATGCACGAAAAACATCCAGTGAAAGAAGAAACGAGAACGATCAATTGTAAGTGAAAAGAAAGACTCATGATTGTTCTGAAGCTCACTAATTCTTCTAATTAATATTCAATTCACGTAGTTTGATTCTGAACTTCTAAGTGCTCTTGTCATGGCCCTCTCCATATATAATGCTCTCAAAACTTTGAATTGGAGGTTTGCGAGGAAACATTTTAAGCACTCGATTGAGACAATTTGCATTAAGTTGATTTTTCCAAGCATAAGGTGTTTCCTTTCAAAGCTATCGACACAATTTGCCATATGAGCGAGGTGACCTGTCATTGACTAAGTGCAGGCTTTTAACTCAAACGCTTCACGAGAAAAACTGACTTTTCTGATCACTCAAAGGTGAGAGCAATATTGGTTTTTGTTTGCAAAGAGTCAATAGTTAAATTATTATTCTAAATTAATGCCTCGCTAATCTGGTAAAGATTTACGATAAACGTAGGAATCGCATGATGCTATAAAATACAAGGTCGTTGGTAAAATCTATACTATATTTATGCCCCAATATCGATGAAATTAAGAGAGTATGTTTTAAAAGTAAAATACACGCTCGACATTTCAAGTATATTTGTTGTTATAATTGGCTTCGTTAAGTGCACGAATAAACTAGTTGGTGGCAAGTATCTCGATTAAAACTCAAGTGCTTTTAGTGTGCCAGCGAAGCAGCTGCTAACTGAACCAAATGCTAACAAAAGCTAGGAAAAAAGTTTGGGGAAAAAGAGAAGAAATATGGAAAAGAAGACAAGAATGAAAAAAATAACGAAACTAAGAAGCATACAGGAAAAATGTGGGGCAAAAACAAACAAATAAATTTGCAAGAAACAAAACAGAAAAAGAAAAAAAGAAAAGGAGTGATGTCACATCATGTTTTTATAAGCCCCACATTGAAACAAAGGACTTAAAGGGCATTCTACAAACCACGAGAATGAACACAATGGCTTGATTTCAGCAATCTTGATTATTCCTCGTCTAAGGATGCCTTTTTGTCGCAGACTATTTCCGCATTTGGACGTGCTGATTAACACCATTTTCCTTGATGCCATAAGTTGAATCATTCATCATTCTTTAGAACATGATAACAGTGATATAAAATAATAAAAATAGTTTATTTAAAGTCGATAATGTAGGAAGTGGTTCCCAATCTTCCGAGCCGGTGGTTCGTGTTGAAAACACTCGTCTCCAGGTCGAATTTAACAAATGGTAAACACCACAGCGTACACTATTGAGTTATGGATGCACGCGGGAGGTTGCTAAGCACGAAAGAAGCGTAAGAGTCGCTCGAGGCGATAGCCGAGAGTGACTCTAGCTTCTTGAGTGCTTAGTAACCTCCCAAGTGCATCCATAACTCAATAGTGTACGCTGTGGTGTTTACCATTTGTTAATTGTAATTTGGAATGTTGATTTATGCGTGGGAAGGAAAACCGGAGGAGCAAGGACGAGAACCAACAGCAAACTCAACCCACATGAGACGCCAGGTCCGGGAATCTAACCAGGGCCACAGTGATGGAAGGCGAGCGCTCTTACCACTGCGCTATCCTTGCTCCCCTATGAAGAAACCGAATCTAGTGGTTATATTATTTTGCATTTTCTTTAGACGTACAAAATAAATTACAGCTTAATTAGTTTTAAGTTTTTTAACGAACTGTAAGCAAAGGATGAAACTGAGCCGCGATTGCTTCTCGGAGTGGGAAACTGTTCCTGCATGGGTACCACAGGGGACGAAATTGGGCCCCTGGCTGTTCCTTATCATGATAAATAATCTTTCTGTAGCAGACACAATTCTTTGGAAATACGTGGATGACACCACTCTTGTCGAATCAGTATTGAAAAATGAGTCTAGCTTCATGCATTACGTGTAAATGAACTTGTACGACAGTCAGAAGTTGATGGTTTCCAATTCAATGAGTCTAAATGTAAAGAACTGAGAATATCATTCTCCAGATCAGGTAGTCTGTTTGATCATATTACTATCTATGACAAGCAAATCTAAGTTGTTTCATCCGCAAAGTTATTAGGAGTGATAGTCTCGGACAACCTCAGGTGGAACGCACATGTACAATTTATATGCAAAAAGGCTGCGAAGCGTCTGTACTTCCTTAAACAGCTAAAGCGCGCTAAAGTTTCATATGAGGATATGCTACTTTCCTATACAACATGTGTACGCTCTGTATTAGAATATGCGTGCCCAGTTTTTCATCATTCTTTGCCGCAATATCTGTCTAATGAAATGGAAAGGTTGCAAAAACGCGCGTTGCGGATGATTCAACCTGACTTATCCTACGCTGAGGCTCTAGTAGCTCTTGACATTGCGTCACTGTACGAGAGGAGGGAGATCTTGTGTGATGCTCCATTTTGATCAGATTGTAAGGGAAGAAAACCACAAGCTCCATGATCTGCTGCCTCCACGCAACGAGTCCACCTATTGCACCCGCAGCCAGAGATACTTCAAGCTACCGATTTGTAATACAAATAGGTTCAAAAACACATTTATCATGGCGAACAGTTTTAATTATTAGTAGCTATCTTAATTATTTGTATTTTGGTTTTTGATACTTCTCTTATTGTATTTTATTGGAGATTACACTTTGCGGCTTTTATTGTAGTTATCTTAGAGTAAGAGATAATTTATTCCATTGTAAAGTAAGTCGTATTTTAGCCGGCCCGAGGGCTGCAATGATTTTACTTCCTAATAAAGCTATCTATCTATCTATCTATCTATCTATCTATCTATCTATCTAAGGGAGATGTTGAGTATGAACATAATTCTATAAAACTAGTTAAATAGAGTTCTCTCGAGCTTCTTGCTACGGCATTGGAGTGGAAAATTCGAAGGTCTGGGTTCCATTACTCGTAGAGAAATCAGGTTTTTCTTTGTCCCGCGTCTCAAATGGAGATATGCATGACTCTAGATGGGGATCATGAGAAACATTATACTGAGGTTGTTCAGTTGCTTTCTCCAACTTGTACTCCTCTAAGAGTTAATTAAGATCGTGAGTAATGGCGTCCAAGTTTATCTTACGTTTCAAAAGCTTCCCTGTTTCGGGCAGACTTGTCACGGTCATTCTGGCTAGCCCACATCACAAGCGACTAGAAAGCGGCTGTTATTACGTACTAATGTCTAGTTTATAACTGCTGCCCTGTTTTTACTTTTACAGCTCTAGATACGAAAATTAGAGTCATAAAGGGCGTGCTCTTTGGGATTCACTGAAACCGGCTGGTCTGCATCTACGAACCTGGGCAGTTGGAACTTCAGACAAACTTCACCGAAGATCAGAAATGGGAACGAGATGGAACAATTCCTTTACCGAGGAAGGAATGATAGTCTCAAACTCATCAACATCTAAAGGTCTTCATAGTGCTGTGGCAACACAAGCCTCTAACCTAATGTCCTCTGAACTGAGAATAATAACTCTAACACTTTATGTGGTTATATTTCTGGTGAGTGCAGTGGGAAATTCTTTGGTCTGCGTAGTGATTTTACGACGGCAAAAGATGAAAACTGTGACGAACTATTTCATATTAAACCTGGCGATTGCAGACCTGACTTTCACTTGCATTTGTATTCCTTTTGACATTCCTGTACAAGAAATGAACTACCGATGGCCGTACGGAGCATTTCTTTGCAGACTGTTGTATCCCCTTCAAACACTCACGCTGTTTGCGTCTGTCTACACACTGACAGCCGTCAGTTTGTCGCGGTTCTGGGCAATAAACCACCCTCTCCGTCAACAACTTTCGACCAGAAGTGCGAAATTTATCATTGTTGGAATATGGATCGCTTCCCTCGTAGCCGTCACGCCATACATCAGTGTTTCTAAGAAAAACAGTGTGTCTCGCAAATGTGACGAGGAATGGCCGAGCGAAAGCGCTCGAAAATCGTACACGGTTTTTCTGTTTGTGTTTGAATATATGTTTCCGCTGACAGTAATTGCAGGTGCGTACATGAGCATTGGCCGAGAGCTTTCCCGACGCGCTAGGAATGGTAACCATTTCTTGAAAGACCTCCAATCCGAGGAGGCGAGGAAAGTTGTGCGCATGCTCAAGATAGTGACTCTTATGTTTGCGGTATGTGTTTTGCCAAATAACATATTATGGTTGTGGTTGGACTTTGGCAAGGCAGATGAAAAATATGACAGATTTTGGGATTTAGTGGCGCTCGGCCATATAATAACGTTTGCAAACAGCGCGGCTAACCCAATTTGCTACACGATTCTGAATGAAAGCTACCGCAATGAGTTCAAGGACCATCTCATGAAGATGTTTTACAAGATCATAGGACAGCCATCTGGAGGTCGAAGGGATCTTCTGCGAGTGGGTAATAACGGTGAAAGCCAACGAAAGTTACGATCTGCTACAATGAGTTCCGCTTTTTAACAAGAATTGACTTTGTATAGACTGCCGCAACTACGGAACGGTTCGTGTATCGTAATTTCATGATTGAATAAAAGCTTTGTTTATAATCTTTTTCAATATTCTTCATCCTCATCAAGATTTGCTCCTACTGGGATTATTATTTTCCCTTTCTCATTTTGTAACCGAGCAAACGAATACTTCATATGAAAGTTAGTTTCAGAACTATTTCCTTCAAGTCCATAATGGAAATGAGTAATATGCATGTTACTCAGTAATACGTAGTTACCCTACAATTTGATTGGTTAGAAACAGGAACTATTATCTACTAGCTCTTTCTCCAGTATATGTTAATTGTAAATTTGAAGAATAAAAATAAGCTGTCTAATTAGCATGAGTAGTTTTTTACCTACTTCCGTCAACGACGAAGTGATTTCGTTGATTTCCTCTTTTAATTTGCACGAGACCTCCCACTTCATTTCCCCAAACGACGCAAGTAGACTAAGTTACCTAAATCCAAACGGGGAGTCAACATTTGTTTTATCTCCCGTTAGTCGTAAAAAAAAGTTATCAGTAAAAAATAAATTCTGGCGACAACCATTGGAAAGATATTAGCCTTATGATGGCCAAAACTTTAACCGTTCACCATAAAAGCCATCACCCCGTGGAGACCCTCATGTACGCGAGCCCATTGCAATTTACAGTATCTTAACAACAACTGAGTTGAAAATTCGATGAATGCTGATAATATATGCAAAGCTTATGAAGTAACCATGGAAAGAGAGAAAGTACCCCTTCTTTTTATATAAAAAGATGTATAACAGTTCTTCTTCATATCTTTTTCTCTTAATTTTTTTTTCTATCCAACTCCTTTTTTTATTTTCGGAATTTAGACCTAACTTTTATACATCTTCGAGTCTTCTCGGGTGGCCCTTCCTGACAGTGAGTTAGTTAAATTAACGCGTACAAAATGAATCCGAAATCTTCAGCACAAGTGTTGCATGTGTAATCTTTATTGTTTACTTTGTGTTTTTAATTTCCAACAAAAAGGAAAAAAAAAACAAAGAGAAAACATTCAGAAATTATGGCAATCATCATAGTTATTTTATTTCATCGCCAAATTAATCATTGCGCTGAAATTATTATCTGATTACAGAACTGTTGATTCATATGTAACTGATGAGACAAAAGAAGTTGCAACGTACCACGCATCAATTGTCGCAAGAAGTAGACAAAGAGGCGGCAAACTAAAATAACAAACTTTAAAATATCTATTTTTTTTTCTTATGGGTTTACTGAAGAAACAATGACCTAACAGACATGCTGGAAACAGCCACTGGACACCGCTCAAAGTGATGTTATTAACTTCTTCTTAATGGCGTCTTTCTTAGTGCGAAGTTGCAAGCGTTCATCCGAACAAAACGCTCTTCAAACCTTGGGTGTCCAATAGCGGGACAACGGAAATATCACTTCGACTGTGTCGATTTTTTCTCATATTCAAGTATCTTCATTAAGTCTGTATCTACTCTAGAATGCCGATTTAAACTGGATAATGTGTTTTTTTTTCTCTCTCCGTTCCTCTGACATGTTTAGTCATTAAATGGCCGTCTCTTTTGCATCAACGACTAATATTTCGTCGATAACCGGTAGATCGCTATAGTCCGCGGTCTGGCCGACGCTTTTGTCCTGACCAGTTAGACTTCGCAATCTGCTCCTCGTGTAAGTGATTGTACTTTCTGCCATGCTCTGGAATATTTTCGGATCACAGGTAAAATACAGCTTAAATTCCTCTCTAAAATTCTCGTGGCAGATAGTGTAAGCGATAGGGTTCGCGGCACTGTTTGCAAATAGAATGATGTTGGTAAATGCAACCGTGTCCCAAAACTTAGAGTAGCTCTCTCCGCTTCCAAAATCAAGCCAAAGCCACATAATGTTATTGGGTAACACACAAATCGCGAAAAGAAGGGTGACGACGACAAGCATACGGACAACTTTGCGCGCCTCTTTTCTATGTGTGTTGTGTAAAACGGAGTTAACGGAGTATCCGCTCTTGACGCTAGTACAAGTTCTTAATTCAAGCCCGATTTTCAAGTATGCTATTGTGATCACGCACAGAGGCAGAAGGTATTGCAGAGCAAACAAAGAAGCTGTATATGCTTTCCTGTATTCGACTCTTGGCCAGAATTCGCCGCAATAATTAGTGGTCTCGTCCAAATTTAAGACCATCATATAAGGAACTGTTAAAAGTACACAGGTAACCCAGGTGACCACTATGACGACGGAAGCATGCTTCTTAGTCATTTGTTTCCTCAGAGGATGTACTATAGCCCAGAACCTATTCAGGCTCACAGCTGTCAGTGTAAATATGGAGCTAAACATGGCCATTGTCTGAATGGGGTACAGAAGCTTACACAGGACGTGTCCATACGGCCATTTGTAGTGATTTTCCTGCACGGGAATGTCAAAAGGAATGCAAATACAGGTGATCGCTAAGTCTGACGCCGCGAGGTTTAACACGAAGAAGTTCGTGACGGTTCGCATTCGCCGACGCCTGGCGATCACCACACAAACCAAAGTGTTGCCGATGACACTAATGAGGAAAATGATGGCATACAGGGAGAGCTTGATTCCTTTGAGGCTGGGAGACTCGCCTGAGGTTTCTTCTGAAGCGTTGACGTCTGTGGAGGTTTCACTACTCGTGGAAACGTTGGTTAACATATTACTGAGGGTTTTAGAATGAGAGCTACACGCAGGTTTAACGAGCTGTGTACCACGACGTGACCGCTATTTGCCAAGTTGCTCCTCTCAAAGTCCGTATTTCCTGTGGAAGCGTATTCAAAAGAGTTTTTGCTGCGGCGAAATGTTTGGTAATGCAAATAATCCTCAAAGGAATATCTGATGACTTAAAAATAAACTTCTACAATAATGGTGCCAAATGCGACCGAAAGACTTCTTCGTCGAACCTACCAAGTTTACACAGCACCTGTAATGTCGTGAAAAGACAAAATACGAAATTAGAAAACTATCTGATCTCTGCTAGTGGTAAATATGACGTTTGCACGTTTTTGCGAGAATCATTTCGCAACAGATTCACAGACAGAAGCTATTCATTAACAATATTAAGTCTCTAACCATTAATAATAAATAGACAATCTAGACAATAACTCCCGAAAACAAATTTTGACAAGAAAAAGAAAACACTGAACTCGCACCAAGATCTAGACCACTTACGTACTTGAGTGAAATTCAATTAACTCGAAGAGGGCTGAATCACAGCTGTAGGGGAAAACCTGTCCATAATTTATTGACATAGCTATTATTTGATCATGTTTTAATAATGGAGAAAAGTCGGAAAGTACGAGATTATTGTTATATTCAAGGTCAAGGATTTTGGTAGAATAAAAGTGCTTAGACAATCAAATAAAAGGTGGTAGAAAAAAAGGAAAAACACGCAGACATATACACAGAAACCTCACACTTTTCTTGAACAGCGCAAAACAAAAACTAAAAATATTACTAATAATATTACTACTAATAAATAATATTACTTGCGAGGTCCTGAATCTAAATTTCTTAAGACTAGGAAACGAAATACGCTAATACGCACATATTCAGTTGTAGTTATGTTATGCGTTTTCGAAGTTATTGTCTGATAATTAAAATAAACTTACACATGGCAGATATATAAGGGCTTCTTTTCATTTCCAAATTATGCAAAATTATGAAACTAGTGGCGTGGATGCGACATGGATTTACGTTGGTTGTTAAAAATGTATCATTAATGGAACAAGATTCTATAAAAATTTGAAACTTTGACCTTCATGGTGAATAAATGAATACATAAAAGTATACTGACGATAAAACTGATGATGCTGAGGCATGTCGAGAGCACAATCAGACTGCCGGACTATGATGTCAGTTCATTTAAGGCGAAATGTCTTCCTATACATATATATATGGAGATGTGTGATCACAAAACTTCAGTTGGATGGGATACTGAGGAAGATATCAAAGCGTAAAGAGTACTCGTGAATTGAACGGGGATGTAAAGATTGACATGGAGTCGGAGTGGGTGTAAAAGAAAGGCCTGAAAAATGAAAACAACGTCTACAGTAAAGAAACGAGCACGTGTCGTATTATATTTCCCAGATGCGCCAACTAATACGTCGCAACTATAATGCAAGTAAACTTGTTGCATTCCAGGTTGAGGCCAGTTCGATTTTTATGAGTACAAAACTAAATTTGAAGATGAATTGATAGAATGATAATCGTAATGATAGTAATCGTTACAATAATAATAATAATAATGATGACAATAATAATAATAATAATAATATTAACAGTGATAGCTGATAATAACGACAAAAGATTAACGGGGTAGGCGTAACGAAGGAAATAAACAGAGAAACAAAAATATGCTTTTGTAATCGTTACGGTGGCCAATTTACCACTTCAACTTTGTTGATATATCCAAATTATTAAGCTAGTGAAACTCAAATGAAGATATCACAGGGGATCTCTCATGATCTGTCAGAGAGGCCTCGTCTGAAATGAAAACGACTTCATGTCATCGACTTGTCTTGTTGGCGTAGTTTTTGACTGGCCACTAAATGTTTTATACCTTTTTTTTTTACGTAGTTTTTCCCTATTCTGCCTTTGAGCAACCATGTGCATCCTACTAGCTTATACACCTCAGATTGTAGACCCCTGTTGTTTGCCTTATAATCTGTTCACCTGTTACTGTTTGAGATGAATCTCTAGAATGACATGCGTACGCAGTTCTGGTTGCCTCTTGGATTGTTTGTTTATTGATTTTGTTGTTGTTGTTGCTGTCTTTTATAGTTAATATAGGAATACACTTGAAGATTTTCGTTAAGAGATACAAACAACTTTTTGTGATTAACTCCGCCTGAAAACAAGCATCTATTCGCTCAAATTTGTTGCTAACTTGAAACCGCGGGAAGCTGTATGTATAACTGCTTAAAAGGCTCTTCAGTGATATGAGCGGAGACAGAAATAAACCTCAAGCGTGTTTCCGGAAAGGTTTATGATCGGAAAGTAAAAATAATAACCTTGTTAATATTCTACTCAGTACGCCTCATCTTATTAGCCAACCATGCTTTGTGGCGCCGTAAGTTTTAGTGCAAGAGCTGTATTAAATTTTTCAAAACTGTTGGCAAAGGAACGGAAGTAATCATTTTCTTTGCTTCAAAGAATTAATAACAATAAATTAAAACGGCATTTGGTGATATAATTCTTGTCTGAAAGTCTTATTACAAGGGAACGAAAACACTGAACTTGGTGAATGTCGTCAACCAAGAATCATAATTCTATTAATTTGGAGGACGACGCGATTCCGCTTACTGTTTGCGAATATAGCTTGTGTTATTAAGTTTTCCCCAGGTTCGAGCAATTTCAATTAGTAGTTGCTGTTGGGTTTCAAGAGAACTGGTTCAAAGCTTTAATTATGAACAGAGGCGAGGAAAAACAATTTAGGTTAAAGAGAAATTATTGATACAGCGGTACACCAATCGAACCACAAATATTTCAATTGCAAAGCTTATGGGATTGAAATATTTGTGGTATCTATCTTGCGTATCTAGTGCACACAAAACCGAAAGCCACGCAGCCAAAAAATGACCTCTAATTCTAACCGTCTGAAAGCTTAATAAACGCTAATCAAAAATCTGGGACCCCTCGAAATCCAGGAGCACAGTAAAGAAAAGTAAGATTATGTTTAGTTCACTCTATATCTTGTGTGAAGTCCTGACATAGTATATATAAGGCCTATATAGAGTCGTTAAATAAAGGACGACCTTTTTAAAACTAGCGCTCCGTATGCCATCATCACAGCAGTGTGATAATAGTATCTGAAAGAAAAGGCTCACATTAATAGTGAACCTTTGAGGGATCCTTGTTTTGAAACTGTCCAATACACTCCGGTTTTCGCGAGTGGCGATAATCAATTACATTTACTGTGAACGTTATAGATCAACCATATTCTTAGCGACTCGAGAACCAAAACGTCCTAGAAACTATCGCGATTAAAACCGTAACGATACCTCTCCACTGAGACTTTAGTGGTAACTTTACGTATTTTGTGATCAGCGGATTGCTAAGGATGTTCCATCCGCTCAGTATAATGCGTCTGGTGTGGTGTGGACAGTCAGGATGTTTTGATTAATGGTTGGGATTCTGGTAGGATTAGTTACGAGGTTCAAGTTTGGAGTGACTCAGACCAATAACTAAAACTAAACAACCAACTGAATCTTCCCATTCCTTTCGCATCGAGAGTTCCATCGCGAACAACAGATATGGTAACTCTTCCCCCTCCTCTTGCCTCAATATCGTTTTTAAAGCTAATGAAAAAATTTTCAACCATTGGGTAGAAAACCAGGTGGAAAGAAATGCTGGTCAATTAGTGCGCGAAAGGCTGAATATTAACGAACTCTCATCAGTCGACAAAGCCATACCTTCCTTGTCCAAGATGGAGTCTATTAAAGATGAAAAGATGTAGATACTAGCTAGAATGGATTTTGAATTTCCAGGCGAGATCAGAATAGGATACTCTCACTGGGAATGAAAAGCGTGATACTGACCGGTATGGTAGGAGAAAGTGTTGAATGCCTCCCTCAGAATATTGAGGTTTGACCTTTTTTTCATTTTTCGCGTTTTTATTTAATTGTCTTTTCTTTTTTAAATGTGAGCGACGTTGCCAACTTATGCACAATGCTTCAGAAGCCAAGAATAGTTGAGCTTGTTATCTCGATAAGCTGCTTTTTAGAACTAGTCAAATGCGATATATTCGATAGATTTTATCGATAAACTTTAACCAATCAATTTAAATCAAATACTATCCAGACATCCGACAGAAAAATGTGATTTGTCATTTATTGGAAGATATTGAAGATGCTGTTATTAATTTAGGAGAAACGCATGATAATTAGTAACAATATCGAGAAGAAAGCAGCATTTACGTTAGGTCGATTCTGTTGACAAGACCCCTGCACATTCACGACAGTGTTAGCATCATTTCATCCCATTGTTTTCCCAGGGAAAAGTAAGATTTGTTTAACTGCGCCGACAGCTGCCGTCGTTCTTGTTGAAGCTACGATAACTGAGTCAAACCGGATAATGACCATTTGATGAGCCTCCGCATAATTGGAAACAGTCAGTGTGCTTAATGATGTGAACCTGTTCAAATATTCAGTAAAGGCAGGTCAATGAAATTTCAGTCCAATAAAGATTCTATAATACAGCTTGCCCTAAGATCTTTCTTAGGGCCAAACACTTGAATTTAACATGAAGGAGACTCATGAGTACTGGTACTAAGTCAGCGAAAATGCGACGGATGGCTTAAGGCAAATAAAATAAATTGGTTTTGAAATTGTGTGAAATTCTGCGAAATGCAATTGATTAGATGGAACAAAACACCGGGAAAAAATTTCTGTGAGTCGTATTCTTCCCAGAATGGTTAGGTATGTGAAGTGACGCAAGATGTTTAAGTTGTATACATAACTAATAATCCATTATTGCCTGACTTGAAAAAAAAAAATAAAAATAAAAATAAAAAAAAATAGGTTTGAGGCAGGTTGAGAAATTCCAAATTCCAAATCTTCAAGAATAGGTGTCATCATGCAGTTGTACTGGCGAGCTGCATCGCGACTCGATAAACCGGAATTGAGCGTCTAACTGTACTTGTGCTTTTAACAGTATTAATGTCTGCTCAAACGATTAGAATTCGAGAACCTCTGCTCGCTCTTAACGAAATATATTTTTCAATTTAAAGTTTAAAGAGCCCTTTCTCGGCAAAACTTTGTCAGTGTTGACGCTAGTCTAAGCTACAAATTGTGACTCGTGATGTTAGATGTCTGTTGTAAATCAACATTGTGCAATCGGGAATTCAGACTGTTCGAGAACTATAAACCCAACACGATCAGTGATGATTGTCTCGAGACAAACAAGTTTTCAAGCCACTTACCGACATGAAAATTCCTTGCGAAGCTAGAAGCGAAATCGTATCCCTTTAGCGTATTTGGTCCTATTCTTTCGATGTAAACGTGCCTCTTAAAAATGCACTGGTTTGACGCACTCAAGCAATCCGAACTCTCCATCAGTGTTTTTCAAAAGTCATATGCTATACGATACCCCCAGTGACGTTCTTTTGGTACAAGATCCTGAATAGAGAGTTATATTAATATGTAAATGCCTTTATTTCAGCAGGAATGTGGGAGCTCAGAAATTATTTTCATATGGCATTTTCGTCCCTTAAAGAGAGGTTTGAAAATGGATATTGTTATTTCTTAACAAGTAATTTAACAGCATCCGTTCACAGTAAAAGTCGAATTAATCAAAATACTTCAAAAACTGTTTACAATTTGTTGTCCCTTGGTATACCGGTTATAATGTATATTTCACGGACAGGCTGATATAGCCGAGTTTGCCTCATAAGAGACTTAACCGGCGATTCTACACGAGTGAAGCACTTTTCAAAGTCGTCATCAGCTGTTGAGTTCTTCATCATAACTTTGAACTATATGCAACAATTTCGGGAGGAATTCATGTTCATAGCCGTTATATTTCACGTTCTTGAGCAATACTTAAACATGAGCAAAATGACAAGAATCTCAGCTGACGAGATCTATTTACGAGTCATAGACAACTTCTCTCTGCAGTTGAACTCACGTAAACCAGCATGTGAGGCGGTTTTTAGGTCCCCGTCCAGCAAGATCGCACAGAATATGTTTTTTTCGTTTGTTTTCGTTTCGATTATACCTGCTAATTAACGAGAGGAAAATAGAAATTACTTTGATCAAAACAGGAGGTACCTTCCTGAGCCAAACAAAGATATCTTCATTAGCAGTATTTATTCAGGAGAAAAATAAACAACAGTTTGTTTAATCGGTTAATGGACAATGAGCAATTGAAGCGACGGAAAACAACGAATAATAAGGGTCAGACTTGAAGCACCATTGAAAAAGCGCTCTTAATACCTGCCAACACCGGAAGATGCTCTTACGAAAACTCTTACAATGTTGTTAGGAGCTCTTCTGATCTGCCTCTCATTTCGTGCATGAAATACGAAAAAGTCGACTCATTTCCGACAGGAAATACCGATCCATATAGTTTTAAGATTGATGGCACTTATAAATATAGATCAAATAGGTTTGAAGAAGGAATGTTTTGTAATTTCTACAGGCGATACTTGTATTTGAGCTGTCTTTTAGAGCAGAAACTTTCCGCTTTGAACCATAGTGGACGATTGCGAGGTTTTCAGTTGAGGAATTTTAGGTGGATGAACCTGGCAGGGGACTACGTGTCCTATTGTTCTTCCACCTGTACAGTGTACAGTGTACAGTGTATAATTTATCTAGAAATGAAATACAATGTACAAATCTTTAGAAACAAAATACAATGTACAAATCTTTAGAAACAAAATACAATGTAAAAATCTTTAGAAACAAAATACAATGTAAAAGTCTTTAGAAACAAAATACAATGTACAAATCGTTAGAAATCGTGAATTGCTGCAGAATTCTATGGAAAATCATTACAATGACATGCATTTGAGAGTCTCGTACTTCTGGTTTGCGAAGGGGCCGATCCGTGAAGCGGACGCATTTTTCCATCCGTATTTTTGCGGCTCCAAGGGTTGCATTGACAAAGAGGAATAAAGCTTAGAAGAACAAATTCACCAAACATGGAACCAATTTTCACCCAATATCATCCGAACATAACGCAATCTCCCTCCGTTGATACAAACGAATCAGGAGAGGACACAACGCACCCGAACATTTGGCCCTTCTGGGGTCATTAATAGTACGTGCTGGCGGGCAGATTTCAGCGGACATCTGAAGATGGCTATCTGTTGCAGACAATCCAAGTTGTTACTGGTAGTCTTTTCTTAACTGTGAATGACATTCTTTTGCTAATGGTATTGTTGATCGAAGGATCAATAGTCCTTTCTTTTACATCGTGTCTGACTTCTGTGTGCAAATGATGATTGCATGTCTACCTTCCTGCCTCTCTGAATGAGTATATTTCTAAGTGGTCTCTCTCTTACCAAGCTGTTACAGAATGGATGTAGAATTATCACCTAGTATACCTTATTCAATAGGTCGAACAGTGCCACATTGTACACTATGGATACCAATCCAACCCAGGTGTTTTGACATTTAATTCCCGCGCCTCTACAATAAAGAATTTGGTTGATCGAGAATGGTCTCCGTTTGGTTTTCTTAGTGCTTTCCACTGATAAATTGCCAAACACAGCTATTGCGTTTGCGAGCAAACAACAACAACAAAAAAAAACTAGTTTTGAAAAAGCCTACCTGTTTGAGGGTCTTGTCGGAGCAGGTTAGCATCTTCATCACCAGTACGGATGCCAATCCATCGCTCCCCTGGTGGTAATTTCTCAAATTCTGTTATCAGTTTGCAAAGCCTTTTCAGGGAAACTGAGCGTACAAGAAGGTACTTTCAAAAGCAAGTTGGGATCCTACCCAAAGCAGAATAACATCATTCAAAGTTTCCCGCGTGCTCAGGAATCATCCAAAAATACAAAAATAAACGGTACTGTTCGAGATACACAAGTATTGTTAGATTGAAGTGCTGTCCGTAAAGTCCATAATTACACTTCTTTGTCGTCCCATGAGCTGGAGTCTGAGGAGTAAGAATGTCGACGCTATTGACAAAACCAAACAAATGAAACAATCTCACCTCTTTCACCTTTATTGTGTGAATTCTTGTGCCAATTAGCCTCCGTGCATTCCCTGCGTGGATTATTCTAATGAAACAAAACTACGAATGCATTCTTCGTCCCAACTTTTTCCAACTTCTTTAACTTTTAAAGGCACTATTGCAGCTTTACCAGTGCTTTGAGTGGCATGTGTCTTTTTTTCAAAGACATCTCTTTTGAATCCGTTGTCAATAAACCAAAGATATGACGCACTGGTTAATACGCTCTGATCTTACATCAGCTTGTCGAAATTTGCTGTGGTAGTTGATTTTCGCTTTTGTGGTCCACTAAAAGCGTTTTAAATCTATTATCCCTCCCGTTGTTTTCTTGTAGAGGCTGCAACTGAATTAGCATGAAGCTCTCGAACTAATTTGGAGAAAGGATTAAAATATCTTGGCTCTCAATAGTATCTATTGTTTTATTTACCGCGATGATATTGTGATATACAATACTGAAGGTCTTTAATATCCTTCACACTAACTTTTCCAGTCTCTCGAGAGAAACGATCGAGAGAAAAATAACTATATCACCTTTCGTATTGCACTGTGGCCTCTGTAATGACTAGGGTTATATTTTTGTTACCTTCCGTCAAGAAGAGATAATAATACGCTCTCATGTAGCAAAAATAGCCTCACAGCTGCTACCACCCTGCTCAGAGTCGCTCATTTATTGGCTCGAATCCATTTTCGAACAATTGAAAACGGAAAAAAAAAAAAAAGTATCACCGATGCGTGTAGGAGTAATTGACGTCTAAAAGCCATACAAAGTAAGGTCGAATGTCATAAGCTAATTTTAAAACATTCAGTTGATTTGTCAACATATCAGCGGCATCTCCCGTTACCTCCTGTCTGAAGTGAAAATAAAATTTCGGCGATATTTGAAATACATATTCGTTTCATTGAGCCGCGTCTGAAGGTCAGTTTAAAAATAGATTTGCTGCTAAAGTGAGGGAACCTGAATTTCTAGTTTTCCTTCCTTTGGGCTCAAATATATCTTTAAATAAATGACTGAAAACATGTCTAATTTGCTACGAAAGATGCCGGCAAAAAAATACAGAAGAGAAGGAAATATCAGTTTCTCAATAATAATGACTGACTCTATTAAAATTTCCAAACTGCTAAAATTCGAAAGGCATCAACTACTGTCGGCAATGTTCATTCTCTGAAAGAAAACTTTGGAAGAATCAAACTTACATGTAGATCAGTAAGGACTTTGGGTGTCAAAGAAATGTAGAACATTGCATTCGAGGAATATTCGTTCAAGTCAATCCCGAAAAAAGAAAAAACGAACACTGATTCACGCAAGAAATTTAATTGCCTCAATGCCATCATCGACTGCTCGTTATTAGCTTGTTATTGGCTCTAGTAGACAACACACGCGGTTTTCCTAAAACAATTAAGGCACCTGAAAGCAAACGTTTAGGTCCCCCAGGACTTCTATTCTTGTCTTAAATGGATCTAAATTATTTGTTTGAATGAGATGCTAAAGGTGCCTCCTTAGCCATACTGACAATTAGTGTTTTCATAAAAATTGAAAGATGCAATCCCTGGTTTCAAACTTTGCTAATGAGACATGGATTTTAAATATCCTCCGGCGTGACAGCTAATCAGAATCTTTGTTCTTTTACGGATACGGAAGTGTTTTCATGCTTAGATGAAAATTAGTTTAAAATGTGTTGAGTGCTACATTTTGACGAAGATTAGCATAAAAGAATGGATCTACTTTTACATAGAATTCTGAGTATAAGGAACATATCTGCGCAAGAAATCATAACGCAACAGAAAAGAGAAATGAATGTTGTATGGCATCGAGACAGGATATCCTCTCTTGTCATAGATAAAAAATATGGTTTCCAAATATCTTGGCGTCGTAGCAATCGCACCCTTGAAAAGGCGACTCATCCTTTCATGTTTTTCACTCATCATTAATACCAAATATCGTGCGTTGGCCCACCAAATTTGACTGCGTTACAGAAGTAAATAAAATCTTCAGACATTTCACACGTTTTAGTTTACGCTTTGAACTATCAAACAACAAACATATGAAATACATATATATGAACTGCGGTTATGAAACGTATATGTGCACGATCCTTTGCAGTAAAGCACTATTTAAGCAATAGTGGAAATTCAGACCTGAAAAAAATTTAGGCCTGTACGGGATTCGAACCACTGACCTCTGCGATACTAGTGCAGCGCTCTACCAATTGAGCTCAGTTGGCTTGTTAGCTCAATTGGTAGAGCGCTGCACTAGTATCGCAGAGGTCAGTGGTTCAAATCCCGTACAGGCCTGAATTTTTTTCAGGTCTGAATTTCCACTATTGCTTAAATAGTGCTTTACTGCGAAGGATCGTGCACATATACGCTTTGAACTATGAAACAATGATACTCATACGTATGATATGAACTTCATATATTCACTGTATAATGATACTCAGTTAGGAATCCCACCTTTTGTTCGACTCCTCGTTATGTCAGTTTTTACTTGTTTCGTAAATATAAAAGAAGCGTCCTACGACGAACCTTCCCGTAATAGATGTTTGCTCGGACCTGAAGGGAGACACAATGTCCCCATTCTTTTATTCTTTACAGGAGGCTTACATTTTACATCGTAAATCACCAGAAGCACGTGCGTGTCACTTTGCTATGGTTACAAGGAGACAATTTTCTTTCAGTGTAAACAAACCCATTATCCACTTTGTTCTCTCAGCAGACATTTTAAGCCTCAAGGTTGAATAGTAATTTCATAACAAAATATAAATGGATAGCGAGTGAGATATGGAGAGAGACATAAAAAGTGTGAAACCAAGAGCACCGAATGAACGACTTTCACCCACCCTTGCTTTCCTAGAAAAAAAAAAAAAAAAAAAAAAAAACCGTAGCTCTTTTTTTTATTTCCCTGGCAATATTAATCAATCCTTGGTTTGGGCTTTATAAAATTTCGGAATTGCTTTCACCGCCACGCTTCTTATCATACATCAGGCCGGATGCCGTGCTTAACACCACAATGTTGAAAACTTCGCTTTGCTATTGATAAATGGAAAAGAAGACAAAACAAAAGTTATAAATGAATGAATAAAGCCGAAAGAAAAAAAATAAAGATAAACTAGAGAAATAGATAAATACATAAGTAAACAGGGAACGAGAGAAGAAAAAAAAACAGCTGTATATGCATATTTCCTTCCCGATAATTAAGCAAATTATTATATTTATAGCGAGTTCAGCCCACGTGGTGTAAGATGTAAACCGTGACTTGAAAGGCAAGCAAGCAAATCGTGATATTTATGGCGAGTTCAGCCCACGTGGTGTATGATGGAAACTGTGACTTGAAAGGCAAGTAAATATGATCATCATTTTTCGCTTTATCTTATTCTATTTTTTCTCACGGAGTGTATGATGCGATGGGGTCGTGCTATGAAACCCATGAAGATGTCAGATATTGCTTGTATGACATATTCGTCAGAATCATAAAACATGAAGAATGATTTTCATGATCAAGTTACTAATTCACGATTCCAACAAACGTACGAGGTAAAGGCAGTATAAGATCGCTTGATATATATGAGTTACACAACAGCTTTATCTGAGTTAGTGTATAAATGATACTGAACGCGAGCACTCCGCGGCGAAAATTGAAAAGAAACTGAAAAGAGATAACGCTTTGGAAAAATTGAAGGCGCCTTTTCAATTAGCGTCTGAAACGCGATTTACACCTTGAGGCTAATATATTGCAAATTGAGGTCATATGAGTTGGTCCGGCCGTTGCCTTGTATACCGACGTTTTCGGGTACTTGAATTAATTTTCAGTATTTTTCGTTATCGGCCTCCTGACAGGACTCCTGACAGGAATAAATGTTAGTTCCAGAAGCTTATTTGTAGATATTTTTCTTCCTACGGTTTCAGTCTTTACCACTTGGGAGCTAAATTTTTAGCAGAGACAGCATGATTTCAATGTCTTCTGGCCAATAAAAATGGCGAAGTATTCGAAATAGACCGTTTCGTGTGAGGGAGAATTTTAGCGCGAAATACATAACCAAGTTTTTCTTCCTTCAGCACTTTTCATTTGAACAAGTTGTTCGTATTCCTTATGCATTGATTACGTCTTGCGCTGTAAGTGTAAAATAAAATATCAATATAAAATAGAAGTAGAATAATATCTTTGTGTATAAAATATAGAAATTTAGGAAAGTGGGAGTGAACTCTAAATTATTAATTTATGGTGTGCTAATTGCGGTGATTATTCTGTTCCTGCAAAATAATCACGGTTTTCAAGCAGATTTTTAAAGACAGAAATGTATTAGAACGCTTTAATTAGTATTGATTCCCTTCACGACAATTTGGGCATCTGAAAATTAGGTGATTTTTCTTTTCAACCTTTACAGCGACATCGGTCAGTCTTGAGATGCATCGTAAGGCACACGAGTTATGCGGAAATTTATTTCTTTTACCTTTATATAAAGTACATATTCAACACATATTATCATAAAAGATAATCGATTAGTTATAAACATACCTAGTTGATGCACGATTTAGACATAATTTCGTACATTTCCTCACCTCAATTCTCCTCTAATGCCGCCAAACCAGTGCAGTGATGACTGGGCTAATGGAGAATTAATTTCAGATTTTCTTTTTTTTGGTCGTTGATAACGATGGCGTAGGAACCAAACGATTATAACCCGATAAACAAGCTTGTTGGTCCTCTTGATCACTATGAATTGTTAGGTATAAGATCATTTCCTTTACGATTTGAATTCCGTTTTTCTTATTCTGAACTTTTAGGACTTATAGCAATACAGACCTATTCCTAAGTTACAATTGCTTAAAATAAAAATGAAAACTTCGGTTTCTGTAAAAGATAACACTGCCCTTGAATTGATGGATCTCAGCCATTGCACTCGACTGTGAATAGCAACGATGAAGAAGATAAACGTGAATAGGCAACGCTTTCTTCATAACGAAACGGCTCAACTTTTGACGACGTTAAAGCAAACGGCTTTACTCTCAAAATTGCATGGAGAAAGCTACCCGAAAGTTCTAAAATGAACGAAAACAGACTAGTCTTTTAAAATAGCTTCACGCCAAAAAACAACACAAAATAAAAAAACAAAAATGTAAAAAGAAAAAAAAAAAATTGCGACAGGGCATATTTTGGTTTTTGTCTGTCTACATTTCATAGAATGGATAGACCTAAGTTCATGTTTTGTTTTGACTGAACGAGCCGGCTAAAGGACGATAAAAAAAAAAAACCTTGGCCGTTCAATTGAACTTATCAAGTTCCAGCCAAGCTAGATATTTATCAGTAAATCTAGAGGATGCATGGCTCAGATCGTTTAAAGAGTTTTAAAACCGGAAAGTAAAGATGTTAAACTATAAGTACAATTCGTTTCAACTTGCTCAAGAAAACTCTTGATTATTTTCTCAATTTGTCGTTTCGTGATGCTGCTAAATCTATTCATAATTTACAAATGAGTCAAAGACGATTATTGGCTGATGAAGGTTATGTTTTAATCGAATCATTTCGGATTAAAAATTTCAAGGATTGCACTAATATCATCTATATTTGCACGACTTTGTATTTTAATTATATTTGTTACATTTTCATCTATCATTTAAATGTCTTTTTCTCGTCACAACTGACTTAGACAAGCTCAGGATGGACTTATTACTTGTCTAATTACGGATCTGTGACGTAATGCTACTTACTTCCACTGAAGTAATCGGTCCGGATGTTTCTAATTCACAGATGTCTCCCTTTTCCTTCTTTTTTGAGCAGACGGTGGGAAAGGTGCTCTCGAGCTCTTCGCTTAATGTATGTTTGCTTTTTTGAGCGCTTGTTGTTGCTGTTGTTGTCTAATGTGTTTCTTTATCCCCTGAGTTTTTAGCCTATGTATGTGTGTATTTACGAATATTTACACAGGGTAGCCCAGTTTAGCAGATAGCTAGCTAGTTTGAATGGGGCCCTGTTAAAGTGTAATTTCGTGCGTGGGAAATTAACGGCTCCTACCCCTAACCCTGCAGGAGACGGGGCCTACCGTTTATTCGTCCTTATCCGAGAAGACTAGAATATCTATTATATTTTTAAACTATCGGAAAGGTAGCGAATTCTCCTCAGTTATTTTAAAACCATGAGTATTGGTCCGGCCAGGGCTCGAACCCTTGACCTTCCGAACAACACAATCTGGCGCTCTAACCAATTCAGCTAACCGGGGGGTGGTTAGCTCAAGCCAAAGAGTAACCTATTTCTTAATTTCTCTTGAAGCTGCACATGTCTACTTCAGGAGTACATTGAATATATTTCGAGACAATTTTCTAAAGGCTATGATAGTCTCCTTACAATGCACCAAGTATTTCATTGAAACACACGCTTCTTAATCGCCGCGATAAAGATTACATGGTTTCCGAGCGCAAGACCTCCTTGCCCCCCCTTCCCCCGTAAAATTTGATTGAATTGAATTGACCGTTATATACAGTGAAATCGACCATGAAACGCAAGTGTTTGTGCTATTAGTTTGGTTGGTTGTATCACACATCAGTTTCTCGAGTGTCTTGCAGTTTCTTGTTTACTTTTTTTGCCTTCGCTGATTGCCTTTGGGCTTGTACCAATGCCTTTGTATAACTCAAGCAAATCGTTGTCTGAGGTGAGGATGTCTCTAGCATTGACTTAAACATTTCCCGGTAGCACGGTAAGTAAAACCGAAATTCATGTCTGAAGTTTTCGTTGCAAAAAGTATAGGCTATTGGATTAGCTGCACTATTGGCAAATAGCATTATGTTGGTTACGGCGACTAAATCCCAAAAATGTTCGTATTCTCCTCCGTTTCCAAAATCCAGCCAGAGCCACATAATGTTATTTGGCAGCACGCAAACAGCGAAAAGAATGGTGACTACAACCAACATACGTACAACACGCCTCGCCTCATTTTGACGCGAGTCCACGAGGCCTCGGTCAGAACTTATCAAATTCCTTTCCTGGACACATTTGCGCATCTCATGTGCGATTTTTATGTACGTGAAAGTGATGATTATCAGAGGAGCTACGTATTGAACAAGGAAAAGTGTTAAAGTGTAAGTTCTCCGGTAATCGAAATGCTCAGGCCAGTTTTCCTCGCAGCTCATTATATCCTCGTCAAGGCGCAACACTAAGATATAAGGAAGATTGACCAATGCGGATAACACCCATACTGCGGAAATGATAGCTTTTGCACGTGGTATGGTAAGCTGGCTTCGTAGAGGATATACAATCGCCCAAAATCGGTTGAGACTCACCGCCACCAGGGTAAAGATTGAAACAAGCGAAGCGATAGTTTGGAGAGGATACAAAAGCTTCCACATGAGAGAACCATAAATCCATTTATAGTTATTTTCCTGAACTGGTATGTCAAACGGAATGCAGACACAGGTTATGGCCAGGTCAGCCACAGCGAGGTTCAGTATGAAATAATTAGTAACACTTCGCATCCGACGTCTTTTGATGATAACAATGCAGACGAGAGTATTCCCAGAGACGCTTAGAAGGAAGATCAAGGCATAAAGGAAAAGTTTAATTACTTTAAACTCTAAACTCTCATTTGGCGAGGTAATTACTTGTGCGAGGTTACCGAAAGCATCCGATGAATTGTCATCGAGGCTGGAATTCGCTATCATTTCTTGCACCAGTGCTATAACAATGTCAAGGAGAGAACGTAGACTTTAGATATTCCCGATGAAGGATTTAGTTCAAGAGGTTTCGAAAATTGTCAACTCTCTGCTGTTCCACATGAACAATGATGGCCTTGGGTACCGCAATGCCACATATGGCGTAAGGAATAACCATTTACACTGTTGGCAAAGAAACAAAGGTAACAAGATTAACTTATACAATCTTACATCGCAAGTTTAAGAATGTAAATGACTTCCTTGTTAAAGGCAATAGGCGTTCCACAATAAGTATGTTGATTAGCTTAGCTCTATCATACGAGACTGGGGCATCATCGCCTTAACGAGGAAATATAGAGAATGGCTAAACCTTGCTAAGATCCATATCGAAAATTATACACTATCGTTTTTCCTTTCCTTTCCTTTTTTGTTTCTTTAGGGTGATCTCCAATCTCCATGACAGTTAAAGATTAGTTCGGAAACGCACATTATATATAGCATAATCATGTTACAGAGACAGCAACTTAACGCCATTCAAAATTAAGACAACAAAAGCCTTTCAAACTTATATTATACATTAAGTTTATTTTTGAAAAATGGCTCATTTGTTCTGCATCTCTACAGGAAAATAGAAAATACAAAACGGTTCTTAGAATCAAACTAGGCGCCTTCGCCAGCGGCGCTTGCGAATGACGATTACTCACGCCCGAAACACGCGAGGCTACGTTTTCCAAAGGCCGTTAGAACATTCAAACAGATGGCATAAGGTTGCTGTGATTGTTTTTTTTTATTTTTTTGGCTGGTTTTATGTCGATTTGTCTTTCCACACACAATAATCAAACTATTGTGTAACCAGAAACACTCACGCGCGAAACACGCGAGGCTACAACACTCACGCGCGAAACGCGAGGACCCGGTATTGTGACGTTTAGGATACGTACGTACGGCGAATAAATATAGCATACGGTTGTATTTCTCTTTGGCTCGATTTTGGCCCTTACATTTTTTCCCGAACACATCCCTAACCTGAGAATTTTACGTAAACATGGACACTGGAGTAAAAAGGTTGAGCAATCATGAAAAGCACTCTTTATTCAAGGATTCAAACATCATGACCAATAAATCAAAAATAGCTTTGCTGTTATTGTAGAGAGGAAATGACAAAGTTATTGTCTGGCTTTGCTAATACCAACTAGCCTCTTCAATCACATGCGTTTTACACTTACTAGAAACGAGTGAATAATAACATCATGAAACGGAACACATTTTTTCCCGAAAGAAACGACGCACTCAAGGTCAAGATAACCATAAAACGAGAAAGATAGAATCAATTTCTCTACTTTAGTTAACAAAAACCCATCCCTTCCTTCAGTTTTAGGTTTCTTGCTTTGTTCTGAATTCTGAAACTTCATCCATTTACATCAATACCTCGTGCACTTACCTCAAATCCTAAGTTGGTGGATCATTACACGCGATCGCTGAGGTATAGTCTGCTTTGACATATGAATGTTCAATGTCACCTGACTCCCCTTGTGGTAATCTATTTCTAAAACAAAAAATAATAAAAAAAAGCCATTGACAAGTCTCGTCAGTAAAGTTAGTCAGGATGTATCTTTTTTTATTTATTTCTTTTTTTTACTGGCAGTCAATTTTTTGCATACCTTCTGACTAATGAAATAAAGAGAAAACGATTTACGTTAAAATAATCAAATTACATTTTGTTTTTTTCGTCCTCTCTATAAGTCGTAATCTGTCTCTTCCTCGCGGACGAAACTGATTTGAATAAATTGTCCTAGTAGGTAGAGTCAGACAAGTTCTCATTCCTGTCGTTGCAATGATTCTTTCATGGAAAACGATATTTCATAAGAAAGGAGTTCAAAATTAATATATCGTAGTGCGTGATAAACCTACAAAAAATGACTCTACTCCAAGCAACCAAAAAAGTGATCTACGAAGTGTCTGGAAAGATTTTCCACGTCATTTATTTGCTGGCGTTTATTTTAAAGCAATTTGGTCTCAGTTCTTGTGCATACATTGCTAGGCAAAACCGCTAATATTACAAATGCAAAGTATAAAAATGTATTTTGCATACATGTTCTGCATGTCTTCCTCACGTTTTGCATAGCGTGTCCCCAAGTATGTTTGGACACCAAACGCATTGTAAGCAGTTACAAATCGTTTGATCCTATGCTCAAAACAGAATCCCAAAAACTCTTAGAACTTACGTGTAAGATAAACACTGATTTTTTTTCTCCTGATAAGAGTTCACGATATCGGGGATCGATATCACTAAAAAAAAATATATCATATCGCCCCTTGTCGTCTAGGCGCTGTGATGTGCTGTTGGCAATTGCCCTCTATAGTAATGGGTCAACCCACTTGTCATAGAGGAAACACAGGCATGGGATCTTTATGCTTTTTTTATTTTATTTGATTTACAGTTCATTTTTACTCATCTCGATAAGAAAAGATCAGTCGAGGTGCTACTGAAGAGCCCTGTCACGGTAATAATGCTGCAGATGGAATATATTGTTTCGAAATAAGGCCATGCGTTGTGGCGTGGGGATAAAAGTTCCGTCTAGACGCTGTTGTTATGCCCGCAATTCTTTACTGTTCTCTTTTTTATCTTATGTGGTGCCGTGGGCTGTTACCCTACCCTTGGTAGGTCAACTCTCGTGTCACGATGCCAGATGCGGTTAAAAGGTAATCAGGACAGTGATATCTTCCAGAGATTGCGAATTAGATACCCGAATGTCTATTTACAATCCCTGAGAGACAAGTTGGAACATTTTGATTATCTTCCCCCAACAATTATCAATCAGTGTTGGAAAATGTGAATGGTTTGGCATTCGCGTTGGGTTTCACGGATGGCTTGTGTGGGCAGAAAATTTCTTATTGTACCAACGACCAATACTCTACCATCTTTTACCAAGTTGGTAATGATATCAGTTTTATGTCAATAATGCTTGATAACAATAACAAATATTCAAGGCAGATGGTGTAGTTTTCATGATTTCCTTTTCGCACCAGATAAATACATTATGAAAAAAGCTTTCCAGCACAATCGATGCGTGGCAACTAAAGGTTATGATAACACAGATACATGTATTAGCCCTTTAAACTATTTCTGAGTCACTCGGAAAATTTTTCGGACGAAATAATTTCAGTACAAGTATGGTCAGAAACAGCCATAGATTCCCAGTAGTAGTATGCTTTTATCTTTTATAAATTACTCACCGAGAGTTCTTCAGGAGATATATTATTCAACTATATTAGAGTTGAACAAGTCGTGACTGGCCAGGAAACGTGAAGTTATAGACTGAAAGTGTAACGTAGCCTAGGGAATGTTACACTTTGAGTTTGTCCTTGGAGGGCTATATGATATTGATCACGGATGGAACTCAGGCTTAGGCTGGTACATTAAGCTGTACAGGAAATGCTGTAAAAAAAGCGAAAGGGCAGTGTTGTTGATATTATCATTTATCTTAACGGCACACCTAGATACGCACAGAAAAACAAGATTAAGCAAATCACACTCAATACAAACGTCACTAAAAGAGTAGTGAAAACATTGCTTGGAATTTCGCTTTTGAGCATTGTTAATTCTAGGTTAAGAAGAGTAGATCACTGCGGAATGGAATGGAGTGTGAGAGGGCTAATTTTAGCCTGCAACCACAAAAGCAAATTAGCTCTACAGACCAACGTTATGACATGGGTTGTACGATGATAAGGGGCATGCATTTTGCGGCTTGATAGAGATATAGAGCAGGCGTCGGTAATGAAACAGTCGGCATTTGTGCCTGTGCAAATAATTGTGATCTTGCACCCGTATTTCATTGCGGGCAAATACGCTGCAATTCTTCGAGTGTTGACTGAGGGTCTCCAATAGGCTTCTTCAATCCCGCCATCCCAACCGGAATTTTCCCTCAATCCCGAGATCCCGACGGTTTCTACCGGCTAATCCCGATCCCAGTCATATTTTCTTAATTCCTTACTTCAGCAAAAATGATCCTTGAAGCTCTGTTTCAGATTCCCTCACAGCAGACTCAAATTAGCTGTATCTCTCTGCACTAAAACGATGATCTAGTTCATTTGTTTTTCATGACTGGTTTTAAACGAGTTTCGTCAGTCAATGAGTTATTTTCATGGTTTTTATAGCTGCTTTTTTTTGTTTTTTTGTTTTCTTTTTTTCTGTTTTGCCTCTTATGTTCGATAACACCTGCCTTCCGGATCACTTCGATCCCTGAAAAAAGTGTCTCTCGGAGATAGCGATCAATGATGAGTATTAAAGGGGAACTGAAGCCTAAAAATAAACCATTTTTAAATTGCAGCTTATAGTTCAAATAGCAATGTTCGAGGGTTTTTTCAGTCTTTGGGCCCAACTTCGCCTCGGAAAAATAGTTTAAAGTGGTATTTTAGCCTCGTAGTACGGCGGCTCAGAAAATCGATGTTAGCGGTCATTTTAGCTCGCTCTTACGTCACTGGTAGGGAAGAAAGATAATAAACCCGTACTCTTCCTACAGAAATTTGGTTTGGTTATGGAGTTATCGAAGTTGCGTGACTTGTAATGGGGATTAACTACGAAAATGAAATAGTAACAGTTGTTTTTCTTAAGTTGGTTCCCTACCACTGACGTCATAAACGACCGCTGCTGACCTATTTTGAGCCGACGGTCTTACACCCCTAAAAGCGGGGAAAAGGCAACTTCAAATCGAATTTTCTCGTAAAAAACAAGAAGTGAACGAAAATGAATATCGACACTTTATTACACGACTCGGGCAGTCAGAGGGCCAATAACTAAAATCAACCAATCAAAATGCTCTATTGCCGGTCAATATTCTCTTAGTATTGGACCGGGCACTGTTCCGAATGGTCCCGAATGATACCGCACATGTGTCCCTTTGAGTTTCAGTCGTATAATAAATCTCTTATTAACCAAGCTTGCTCGGGACCGTACTGGAAAAATATCGGCCCTCGGTCTTTTTTGTACGGACCTCACTGCGCTCGGTCCGTACTGTCAAGACCTCGTGCCAATATTCTCCCAGTACGGCCCTTGCGCTTAGTTAATAAGATATATTTATCTTACTCCTCTAAAGCTAACTAGAAATGAATGCAAACAATATATCAATTTTAGGTTTCAGTTCCCATTTAAGGGTACATATCACGACGTACTACGGCATCTTCACTGTTCACTACACATATGATAAGTCACCGTCAATCGCAACTCAGAAGACAAATTGCTCATTTACAATTTTCAGCCATGGCAACGATCATCTGGAAATTCCATAAAATCGAGTACAATTGTGCTCAACAGATACTGAAACATATATTCTTTTCGACCCCAGTTTAACAGTGCTACATATTCCGGCCCAAAATGCCGTAATCACCGGTAACCAAAGCGTACTACAAGAGGTTGAAATAAGAGCCTGTACGGATTTCAATTTCGAACGAAAACTATTTCTGTTTTCCTTTGAAAACCTACGATAAAGTTCGAACCTCTCTAAGTGGTGTCCTCTTTATGTCGCCGAAACGCTTCTGTTAGCCATTTGACCAAATTTGACGCGAATTAAAGAGTACGAGTCACTGTATCGTAGCTTTCAAAGGAAAAAAAAAATTTAAATCCATACAAACTCTTATAGTACGCTTTGGTCACCTACGGCTAAATTTAATGCGAAATGTTTATTTGATGATTGCTATCATCTAGGAGCTTCTTTAGCAATTCGCTGCAATTAAACTATAATTCTGCTATTGAAGCGAACATTTCTTCCCGGAAACGTAAAACCGTTCCAAGCAAAAAAGTTGCCTCGCGATCCAACGACGGAATTCCACCAACATCATCGTCGGCCTCGTCGTTATAAGTTATAAAACTCTCCATGTCCTTTTTCACTGTCCAAGTTCTCGCAATTCATTGTCTTCATTCGCAATGTAATAGTTCCACAAAGACATTTTAATAGTCACAAAGACATTGTCAAATTGGATTCTCATTACGGCCAAGGTGTCCAAGGTTCACGAAAATAGACCACAGATCACCATAGGGGTCACAGAGCAGCGTGACAGGGTCGTGGAAAACGTGGATGTCACCTAGGTCATTGTTCGACTATTTCCGACCATTTTCGACGTTACTAAGATGAGCTAGCTAAGATGACAGCTTGATTTTCTTTGCATATTTCAGCCTCTGGAGTTCCCGAGTCTCGGTTTCTTTAAAGCGACATTTCCCGATTCCCGCCTGTTAAAATCGCCAAATCACTTGACCCGGTCATAAATACAATCCCGAATCTCGTCCCCCTTTTCCTTCAAAATCTCTAATCCCGGCCTTCAAATAAGCCAAATCCCGGATCCCGAAAAACCTATTGGGGACCCTCTTGACTTCTTTAGCCCAAAATGTAGAACTCTTTGGTCAATACGTTATCAACAAGCCGAGCGTAACAATGTAACCACAATTTCCGCAAACAAATAAATATGGTCAGTTTTAAGTCTCTGA